ATAATCAGCATCTCGGTTTTCGTAATGTCGTCCTTATGAAAACATTGCGATGAATTATTACTTCTTAAAACATACATGTATACTTACCACGAAATGTGCATATAAATTAATAAAACTGACCTCAAATGATGTTGTATCATCTCTAAGAAAAAATATCATTATATCAAGGTTTTTTAAACAAAAAAAAAGCAGCTCTATGTCTACGTTTGACTTAAAATTGATTGTTAAACACCTTTCAAGGTGTTAAATACTAGCTTATCGCCAGGGGCTTCGCTCGCGTCATCCCTATAGGGAACTGTTTAGTGGGATAAAAAGTAGCGCATATGTTAATCCAGGCTTAGAAGTTAATTATAATTCATTTGGATAATGTTTCATATAATGACACGGATATAATGACAATGACAAATTAATGTAAACAAAAATCGGTTTAACAATTTCGGAACCTATTCGATGCAAACAAACAAACAATCATATATTTTCTCTTTATAATATTCGTATAGATTCCTTTTCGTTATTTGTTACTTAAATTAATATTAAAAGAAAGTAAAAGCTACATTTGTATTGTTAAATAAAACCTCCGTGCCATGAACTAATAATATTAGTACATGCTTGTACACAAGAAATAATCACAGGTGATTTGTAGATAGATTTTATATAAAAATAAGAAAAATATTCAAAATATTAGAATATATAAAATATATTGCTCAGTTTCCAAAACGATTAGCTAAAGCCCCCGTATTATGGAGTATCCGAGACGAGGAAGGTACCACTCGAGATCGGGATCGGGAATCGAAGCCGGGACCGCATAGATAACGACAACTTGAAACCGGCGTGTGAAACATTCGGCTACGAAGGATATGTAAGTTATCTAATAGTTAAACGAACTCGATGGCGTAGTAGCTAGCGCGCTCGGTCTACAATACGTTAATAGCCGGTCATAGGATGGTTGACCAAAAAATTATTGTCTCGAGCTTCCCTGTGTTTCGGAAGGTACGTTAAGCCGTTGATTCGTTGGGCCCGCGTGGTGGGTCATGGGCTATTCTCCCTATTTGATTCGATTCCATCCATAGGGAAAGCCTGAGCCCCAACAGTGGGGATGTTAAAAGGCTGGTGTTGATGAATGAAAAATCATAGTTGCATTTATTAATAATCACCACACCACGGACGTTGTTGACTCATAATGCTGTCTGTATGTTATCGAGCTGCTGTCTATTATTGAGTTATTTATTATTGAGTCATGAATGTTATTTAGGTAAATTAGACTTATAGGTGTATTATGAAATAAAATCTTTCTTGTGTTACCTGGGCAATCTACGACCAAAACGCATTTCTTCGTGTATTCATCCAAGATGTAGCCAGCAGAGCAGCGGCATCCAAGTTTACACTCCCATATTGATGAACACGTAGTCCCACCTAAAATTTAGGTATTACTATTTTTCATCAGTTTTTCATGCCAATGAATTCATGGAAAGACTTAAACGAACATAAAATACGTTAAATGTAGGGGCCCCCTTAAATATATATTAAACTAGCTTTCGTCAGCGGCTTCTCCTGTGTGGTTTCTAAACAAATGTTTAGTGGGATAAAAAGTATCCTATTATCTAAGTCAGCCAATACTCTAACTGTATACTTACCAAATTTCATCAAAATCCGTTTAGTACTTTCGGCATGATTGACGGACAAACATCCAAACAAAGAAACTTTCACATTTATAATATTTTTATGAGTCTATTTTTAGTACCTATATGTTTTTATAGCGGCATATACCTTTGTACGGTATACAGACGATGTATTGACATCGTCTGTGAAAATTTCAACTGTCTTTTATCATTATTCATGGACGGACGGACAGCGGAATCTTAGTAATAGAGTCCTTTTTACCCTTTAAGTATGAAATCCTAAAATAACCGCGTATTCGCTGAACGCAGGACTGTCGCGTGATATATGTTCAATCAAATGAAACCTTCTTCGAAAGGTAATAAAAGATTTATTTCATCGAAGCCCCATGAGATGTGACAGCGCTGAGTTCAATGAATTCCTTACAGAAGGCTGTTTTGTTACAGAATAGCATAGCTGATTGTTCTGCTAGTCTGATAAATCATCACCTAAATATATATGTTAAACCTTAAACCAGGGCTCTCCAAATACCGCGCTCTGAAAAGGGCAGGTTGAGCGTGGCTGGCCTACATGCTAAAACCCGCTACGGTCACGTGGTTGAATGAACCTGCAGTCTATTTTTCTAATTTTAAAATATTATCATTATTTAGGATATACTTACTCTGTTCCTTATTTTGAATTACTATTGAATTTTTTACCTCGTGGCAAAAGCAATAAGTTCACACAAGTCGGCGGGCATTTCCAACCGCACAGAGAAAACTCCTCATTGTCCTTCAAACACAATGAAGTCCTGTAGCCTGATAACGTTCTCGAAAAAATTAGAATTAAATTGATATACTGCAGCATTGCAAACACTTAGTATATATTTACTGCCGAACTGTAAAACTTACAGCTACTGAACACATGAAACATAATCGTATATTTTATACTTCGGTATAGAAAGACCGTAAAAACCGTATACACGAAATCAAAATAAATAGAACCTTTTTTATTTAAATACTGAAACTTTAAATATAGAATTTATTAAACTACAAACCGACGGGTTCCAAGAAAAAAAAAACGTATATACCTAAATATAAGACGAAATGCTTTTTATTATGCATACGCATTACAAATCACATACGCTATGCGGAAATATGTATATATTTTTTTGTAATTGTCTTACCTACTCGATGAGTTATCCAATCGAACATTTTTGTCTTACCTACTCGATGAGTTATCAAATCGTATTTAAAATGTTCATCAAGTTAGAAATTAGCTCCTCATTTTTAAGTTGGCAGCTTCCTAAAATGATGTACTTCGTATCTCTTCGGCATAAACTTTAAAGTTATCACCAATGGTCAATCCCCTAACTCATTTGACTATTTATCGGGTGTCCACCAAGCATCCCACTTAGACCTGTTATTTTTTAACTCGTTCATTAATGACGTCGCACAATGTTTCAGACACAGTACGTTTCATCTGTATGCAGACGATTTGAAAATAGTTAAATGCATAGAGAACCCATCGGACTGCTTGTACTTACAAGAAGATTTAGATGGACTTGTGGATTGGAGTGATTGTAATCATATAACATTGAATATAAATAAATTTAAATATATTCGCTTTACTCGCAAAAATACAACCAAAAATAACGTCAAAAGACAGATTTTATGCTTCCTAATAGCAAGATTCTTGTATTTAACTCAATAATTAGATCTTCCTTGGAATATGGTAGTGTGGTGTGGTCTTCTAGTTACGAAGTACATATTTAAAGTATAGAATCGATACAAAGAAGACTTTATAATATTTGTCTTTTCAATATAATATGGCTAAATAGTTTTACCTTCCTATAAAGAACGATTACCAAATTTAATTGAATCTAGTCTACAGGTCCGAAAACGATTGTTGGATCAATTATTTATGTAAAGCTTAATATGATATATAAAGCTTAATTTTCTAACGGTGCATTGAGTTAATTTGAATGATTTAGATATTTTTTGCAAATTTAACTTATTTAAATCAAACGTAATAGCTGCAATAAAGGATAAGTAAGTGTAATTTTATTAAATTTCTTTCACATATTTCCTCCTGTGTAATTATCAGTGGTCGGAATTAGGTAGAGTTATGGTAGAGTAGAGTTATGTCATGTACTTACACTGATTTCATACAGCGAAAGAATAAAGTGGATATGCCTCAAATCCCGAGATTAATTTTAAATCAGACAAGGAAAATGATTCTGATGGGCCGTTTGAATAGGCAAAACCTCATGAGTCTAGGCTAGAAGCAAAAGTATTCACTCGTATTTATAAAAAAGGCGAAATATGCGTATGAGAATTTATTAAGAATTAAGACTATCAATAATTTGTATTGTAAATTAATGTAAACTAATAAAAATTTTATGTTAATTATCTTTGTTTTATTTGTCTATCTCTGACGTTGTTATTATTATTTAGTTTTAAGATTGTTGGCCACACGGGATTGTCCATTAGAAATCCTGGGAAGGTCCACATTAATATCAACATTTCGATGCAAGTACATAAATAACTCTACCTTATTCCGACTTCTGGTAATTATACATGCAACTTGTATTTGAGGCAACACTTATTTGCATGATTTTATTTTTGTAATTAAACTACCCTTAAATAAATAAATAAAATATCACCAAATTACAGAAAGGACATGCTTATATCATCGAAAATACAAAAGATAGCATATTTTGTATTTATTCAAATTCGGAAAGGCGGAATTTCTATGTTCAACGTGTAGTTTATTTTTTATGTATGTTTAAACGTTCATCGCTTTCTTTCTTGAATTGTGAACCAATTTCTATCAAATACATGTTTTCCTTTGATTTCACCTGCATTCATTTTAACTTATGTTCCCCGCCTATTATGCATCTTCTTGTAGTATTTTTTCTTATTGATACAATAGTTTGGGAGTCTATACAAACAAACAAGCTATCAAATAATTTCGTCTTTATAATATTAGTATAGCTAGTAGATTGGCAAAAATTATGCCGAGCGTCATTTATTGCGCACGCGACATTATAACAAATTGTAAAAAAGAAAGATATCTCATAAATTATTAAGTATACGACCCAGATCACAAAATGTGCATACATAACACATTTCACGTTGTCATATTTGCTTTCAAGCAAAAATCGGAATTTGTCTACAACACGTAGGTACTATGTATATGTCATCGAGAAAATATTATATGACTCAATATGAAATCTAAAATTAAAACAAGAAATCAGTTATTTTATTAAAAGATTATCATCTGATAGTTAAATGAGATAAATAAGTAACTGCGATTCTGAACGATGGAACGTGTTAATGAACCAACATTTCTATCGTTGCGAGATAATTGTGAAAGATTATTTCTCTGATAAGCAATATAAAATGGTGATATATTTCCAACAACCATCAGACAACAATCAGACAACAAGCAGTTCAAAGATCAACATGACCGCATTCAGCTTCCTGCTGACTTTATCCACTGCAGTGACCGTATCCCTCGGTCATGTAGCCGTTACGAAGACACCGAATGAACTTCACCCGGTCCACGAACTATACGTAAAGCCATCTGCTGACGGTACCACCGGCGACCTCTACGTGGCGGCAACGGAAGAAAGCGGATCCAAATCGCAATGGTTGACCGACCAACCAGTACACTTCTTGTCGGCTCAGCCCCAACCAGCTCTGCCTAAGAGTTACGCTGAAGAAAGTTTGAACACGAAACGTGCGGTTGTTAATCCTTACATGCAGTATGCATACGCGATGTCTGGAGCAGGAAAACCTGATACAGGTGCGTTGGCAACCTATCCGTACGCACTCCCAACATCTAGCCCAAGTCCGGCAGCTGAAACTAAAACTGAAGCAGCCACTACTGCCGCAACAGCCGTGCCCCAATACAATCCCTACCAATTTTTCTATCCCCAAATAATGGCAGCCTACACCAACATGATGAACGTTCTCAAGGAGACCGGCATGAGTGAAGAGTCGGCGACTGCCGTTCTAAGTCAGAGCTCCTCGATGTGGCCCCAATCATATGCGTACCCGGTTCAGTATGTAATGGTGGATCCTAGTATGTGGGCACAAGCTCAAGCATCAGCTTCAGCCACTTCTACCCCGTCTGCACCAGTTGCAGCCGATGAAGAATAATTTATATACCTACCCGTTATTTATGATTATTTATTAATTGGATATTAAGTAATTAATTTAATTATTTATTTTTAATATTACCTATGTACAAAAGTTGATAGAAAATAAACAAAAAATCATGTAAACAACAAGTTTTCTTTAACTATCGGCGCCTTAACTTAAAAATAGTGAATATATATGCGTATTATTCACAAATTTACATGCCCTTTTCAAATACCGATAAAACCAAGATATTGTTTTTGTATAGTGTCTGTCTGTCCAACCAACTCAATCCAATACCAATCAAACATTTTTCTTTTCTTCAAATTAAATAATCGCCAGTAGAGTAAGTAGTATCAAATCGCATTAACGAGACGTTTTCATAATGAAAAATGCTTAAAATGTATCAGCATCAGGTAATCTCGAGAAGGGTTTCGAACCTATTAGCTTCTTTTCGCTACTAGTGATAGTGACAGGGATGTTAGACGGCCACTTAGAAATCCTTGTACCGAGCTGGCTGAAAGCTGGTATTCGAGGGGGGAAACTGGTACGCCTGTGCTCCGCTCTGGCGCTGCCAATTCTGGGAGACAAACTGTGTGGGAAATCACATCTCAATAAAAAAATGCACATTTCAATTACGTATACCGTTAATAGAGGGCAGTAATTATCGAACACTATTACGTTTTATAACATTAAGGAAATCTGATTGGAATGTTTTTTTACATGCATCTCTGAAATTTGTCGATTATTCTATGTTGTCAGTGTATTTTTGTCGGTCAACGGGCCAACGGCCAATCTTGGTATTTTTGCATACAATGACTGAGTAGTCTTGGTACATGGTACGTGACACTAAAAACTAGTATGTATACCAAGAAGTTGGTACGTCTGACATCGATGGATAGTGAGCGTATTTTCGTCAATGTTGAGACAATCCACCCAAACAGCCAAAAAAAAAATATTTTTACAAATATTCAAACTTTCTACTATGATGAAAATTTGTTCCAATTTTTATTTTTCAATAACTTAACACTCAACACAAGCACCTACCTTGTCTTTCAGTTCTGTTGAAAAACATTACGAAAAGGCGCCTTAACTAAAAATTACTATCATTGCGAAGTCGTCGCCAAGGATGAACAAGAGGGGCTTCCTGTCCCTAAACCACCCCTCCTCCCCCCTTCCACCGCCTCCACCGCCTTGAGAATTTAATCAAGTTGCCTATTGTAAAACAACCAGATTCCTAAGTCTTTGACTTCACTTGCTTGATCGATCATTACCTTATGTCGAAACTCTAATGTTCTTATCAATTTGGTTCCTACACTCAAATACGCTCCGCTCTACGCTATAGTTTTGGAGAAGAGAACCGTGTATATTCAAATATTGTTGTTATTCTATTTTTCTAATAAATATCTAATAAACTTATTTACAAGTTTCATTTATTCTACAGTCAAAAGCTCGTGTAACTTTATAAACCTTAGAGATGTAAGGATCGTACTACAAAAATAAGCCGTTGTAATGCGGTTTAGCTTTATATTGCTTACTTTTAAGATGACAGAAATTCTTTAGGCAAATTTTGTTTGGATAACAAAGTAAAAACCTATCAATCTGTTTGATTAGGTAAAAACTATAACTAAAACAAAATGCAACCTGAGTTAGCAAAGCGATAATTTACAGCGAAATGTATTTGTCATTCGCGGTGCCGATTAATAACGTTATAACAAAAAAATATATCTTAAAGGCCTCTAGAAAATAAAGCAAATGGATGGTCATGTTTCGTTGGTAGTATTGTATAGTATCACTTGATTTTATACCTATGGCTCTAATGATACATAATAAGCTGAACAAAATGATCGTTATTAGAAATCGATTTTTAAATTATCTATTAAAACTCGTTATCAAACAATCGGTTTTTATATGAGTACTTCATTATTTGACATCCCTAACTATGTTATGTATATCTCTCTGTCTGTCTCTCTCTTTAATTAGTCTGTGTTATCAACCATGTGTTTAAAAATATTTCTGTCGGATAAAATACAATTTAACTAGATTTTTCTATAAAATAAACGATAAAAAAACCATTTTATAACCATGGTTTCTAAAAAGAAAAAGAAGGTATGTATGGTCATTATATCTTAATACTTTCACACGTGTATTTAGTAATGTCGCATAACCTTATTTTCAAATTCACAGTATTCTTCTGGAGAGGGTGCCCAATTTATGACTAGAAAGGCAGCACTTAAAAAGCTACAGTTATCATTAAAAGATTTTAGACGAATATGCATCTTAAAAGGCATATACCCTAGAGAGCCTCGCAATCGTAAGAGAGCACAGAAAGGTGCTGGTGGTATTAAAACCTTGTATCACACAAAGGATATAAAGTTTTTACTTCACGAACCGATATTATGGAAACTTCGGGAGTTAAAAGTAAGTAATAAACAAGAAACACTGCATCTGGGTAAAGAATTGAAATTATTTTTAAAATTAATGAATAATAGTGGAATCACCTATTCTATATGTAACATTTCTTCAAGTTAATTTAGATTATACTGGCACGCAAATAGAACTTTTAAACTACACAAAGGGTTTAATTAGAGACGTAATGGATAGTGGTTTGGCCGAAGCGCCGGATATCCGGCTACTGAATATTCGGCCTTTATTGCCTTTCATGACTGAGTGTTATCAACTCTGAAATTTCAATATTATGGAGTATTTTTAATTTAGAATATGCTAGAACTACCTTGAATATTTAGCAATATGTTTTGGGTCAGATTAGAAAAAAACATTATTAATTAGAATCGGACGGTATAATTATTTTGCTATTTTTATATATATTTATTTTATACTTTTGAATCATTGTATCAATGGGAACAAAAACTATACGATTTATTCTGTGATGCTGAATAGCCTGTTGCGATAAAAAAAATGCTTAAATCAATCTAGTAAGGAGTTAATTCTGTTTTTTTAGTTTTTATGTCATTTACTTTGCTCAAAACTCTTTCGCGTTCAACATTCGAGTGTGGCAGAGATAAAATTGCCAACATAAACTCAGGCAAATACTTAAAATAGGAAAGCTGGCCTGGTATATGAAGCAAAGCAGAGTCACCTCTTACCAACAATAGCGGAAAGTTTGGTATTCATTCTCCACAATTTGCCACTTGTTAATTTTGAGTATTAAACTAATTAATAAATGTATGTAAAGTGGTATAATTTTCCTTGTGTAAAATAATGTGATTTATGTTTATTTTACTATCCGGTATCCGGCTGGATATTGGCATCCTATCCGGTATTCGGTTGCATAGTAAAAATAAGACTGGATACCAGATAGTAACCGGATATCCGTTTCATCTCTAGTTTAAATGTGTTTTTATCAATATACAGAATACTGCAATACAAAGGCAAACCCACTGGCAGAAAGTTACTTTATTTATAAATGCTAATATTCTTATTTTAAACTTCCAGGTATATCAACAAAAAATTCGAAAGGCTCGTGCTATGAGAGAATTTCGACAGATGAGGAAGTATTTAAGGGACTACCCAGATATAAATATTGACCATATTGTTAAAGAAAGGTACCCAACCTTTGTGGATGCACTACGTGACCTAGATGATTGCCTTACACTATGTTTCTTGTTCAGTACATTCCCATCACTAAAGAGGGTACCTCGAAACCAATCTTTGCTTTGTAGAAGACTTACGGTAGAGTTTATGCATGCTATTATAGCAGCTAAGGCACTTCGTAAAGTATTTATATCTGTAAAAGGATACTATTACCAAGCCGAGCTAGAAGGGCAAACTATCACGTGGATAGTACCTCATCATTTTTCATTCCAGGTGATATTATTATTAGATACATATTGATGGAAAGCAAACATACAATAACCTACAAAACCAAGATCGTTCTAAAGACTAGAATAACATATTTTCAGAAAACAAAATTATTTACATATTATACAACTTAAGTTACCATATTTTATTCAATTTATTTTAAAGAAATCTTACAGCCGCGGTTTAGGATACCTATATCCAGCGGCGTCCTCAGCCATTGCGAGGCTCCAGGTGGCTCCAGGTGGTCTTTACGAGGCCCTTTGTGAGAAGTGTGTGATTCGAAAGTAGGTCTGGTTGTTTGGGTTAAGTATTTGTCATGTTCGAGGAGAAATGCTTAAGTTATACAAAGTGTTATGCAATTAAAAAACCGATCTTCAAGTGGTTCAAAGGAGTATTCAATTATGTTTAGAATGAATGATTTAGTTAACTAATTTTATTTAAATTTACTGCTATGTTATAATATATAACCTGCATAAATAATTAAGGGACAAAATAAAAAGTTTTAGATTTCAAAAATATATTTATATTTAAATTTGCTTGGCTTGTTGCGCGAGGCCCCGGATGATTGCCCCGTTCGCCACCCCCTAAGGTCGCCGCTGCCTATATCAATGCAATAAATGCTGGACGCCATTTAAAAGTTTTCATGGATCGTAGGATTTTTTTTTAAATAACTATAGGTTTGGTTACTACATATATGTTGGGTACTATGTGTTTGCTTTCCAACATTGAAATATAACTTTCATAAAGTAGAAAGCCAGAATTTTTGTATAAATGTTTTGACAAATTTTAGCCACAAAGCAAGGATGAAGTAGATTTCAAGATAATGTCGACATTTGTTGAATTTTACACAATGATGCTTGGGTTTGTGAATTTCAAACTATACCATTCTCTCAATTTGGTTTATCCGCCTAAACTAACTGCAGCATTTTCTGACACTGATAAAGAACTTGTTGATGAACAAGCCTATGTAGCAGAAAGGATAGCTGCTATGAATATACCTGTTATAAAATTAGAAGGTGCTAATGAGGTAGAGGAACTACCAGAAATAGACATTTTTCAAAGTGAAGGAGAAGATCCACAGAAATTGGAAGAAGCTAAACAAGAAGCAGAGAAAGTGAAAAAGTTAAAAACCATGTTTAAAGGATTGAAATTCTATATCAACAGAGAAGTCCCTAGAGAACCATTAGTATTTATCATTCGATGTTTTGGTGGGGAAGTATCTTGGGACAAAGACTTATTTGTTGGAGCTACTTTTGACGAGTCAGATGAATCAATTGCTTATCAGATTGTAGACAGGCCAAACATGGATAAACAATATCTGTCCCGTTATTATGTCCAACCACAATGGGTATTTGACAGTGTTAATACAAGGACATTGCTTCCTATAAGCAAATATCTCATGGGTGCTGAATTACCACCTCACTTGTCACCATTTGTAGATAAAACCAGGGATCAAGTATATAAACCACCTGAGGAAAGAGCACTTCTGGATCCTAATTTCAAACCATTGAGTGAGTATTTTATAAATATTTCAATAATGTTATTGCTCTTACAATCAATACATTGCCCTCATAGGTCTTGAAATAGTATTGAAGATCCAGGATGATATAGACTTTCGGTCATTGAAGATTTTATATTCAGTGAATAAAAGTTTTAGCCACCACTGTGAAGCTTACACAATATATAGAAAAACAATATATGATGTTATGTAATTATTGCAAAATATTACATATTTTATTTCATAAAAGTCAATCTCTTAATTCTTAGATGATGATGAAGACTCTGGAAGTGAGATAGAAGAAGCCAGTGATGAGGATGAAGAAGGCAAAGATGATTCTGAAGTCGAAGATCCTGAACAAGCACTCACTAAGCAATATCAACAAGAAGTAGAAGAGGACTCCACTTCTGAAGATGAGGATGATGATATAGACCCCGAAAAGAAGAAATTGAAAAAAGAAAAGGTATTTAACCATATTTTACCTGTCACAGTTAATATAAAAGATGTTTGTAAAAACAGATAAAAGTTCTACAGTAGTTAAATACCATTATTTTTTTTTTTTCAGAAAAAAGCAATGTCCGTCACAACTGGTGTACCACATAAAGAACATCCTTATCAAAAAGAAATTGAGGATAAACAAGCGTTTAGATTGCGAGAGAAGCTTGTAAGAAAGAAGTACAGAAATCTTTACAAGAGCATGAAAGCAGGTCAAGAAAAGAGAAAGAAGGAAATATGGCTACTACGTAAAAAGAGACGCCTGCATGACGAAAAAGTTAAAGAAGCTAAGAAAGCAGAAAAACATAAAAAGAAAATACAGGCTATAGAAGCTGCTTCTGCTTAATTGTGGTTCAAATAAAATATCTATCTTAACATTGTGTTTTATTAGTATAAATATAATTATCCTATTTACAACAAATAAAATATACAATTATAGCTAACTAATGATAAATTACAAAATGTATAAAATGTTATCTGAAAAAATTGTCTTGTTTTGCAGTAGTGCCTAAAATTTAAACTATGTAAATCATTATGTATGCTGATGGATAATTTGATATATATAGATCTATAGTTTTGTCTATTGTATAAAATATTAATAACAAATAACTCCATTCCCAATTATATCTCAGTCATCTGCATTGGCGTCACTATCACTCTCGGCATCGCTATCTTCCAGTTCTGGCATTGGAAAACGGAGAACGGCTGCAATCCCCGTTAGTTGGTCAAGCTCTACAAAATATGAAAACTTATATTCCTATATAAACTTTATTATCTCAATTTTAACAGAGCAAACACTTCTTAATATGTCCTCTACAATTTCAGATACACCATATAACCACATAAAATTGAATCTTCAAATCTTGTTTGATATTTAATTCAGAACATATGCAGTAATCCAATTTTGTTACTATGCAACAAGAACTAAAAAAACTTTTCAATTACATCAAATGATTCAAAGGTAAAGAGTAATTTAGATAAGCACTTGATGAAGTAGAAAATGAAGATTAGGAAACAATATTACTAGACACTTACGTTCACCAGATACATGCATACTAGAAAAAATTCTAACATCCCCACCATTCTCTCGCACAGAATCCACCAATGCCACATATTCTTTTCTCTGTTGGATATCTTGACACCTGAACAAACACAGAATACTGTTATTTTAGGTGGTAAAATGTACAAGTTTCCTAAGGCTCTATGTTTCACTAGTATACCCACTCTTACAGACCCAGAACTCTATACTGGATACTAAACGATGTACACCCTTAGTACTTCAACATACTGAAATATCAAGCTTTAGAAAACTTGCCCATTTTTGGCATCACTCTCCATCTATATATAGCAACCACTTTGTTTTTCTGATTGTGTGGTCAAATGTGTTTTTCTGATTGTGTGGTCAAATGGTGGCCAACTAGCAAACCTAGCTAGGGAAAGTAGTCCTTAACACTATTATAGGTGATGCAATGTTTTGATCAACTTAATAAAAAAGTTTTCAAGCAAAATTAGGCATCACAAGATATTACCACAATAGTTTGATATTACTGTTATCTAACTTATTATAACACACGATTAGATCAGGGTAGGCAACCTGCGGCTCTTTCGATGTTAAGTTATGGCTCTCAAGTTCCATTAAAAAAAATACCTACCCACATTATAGTTAGTTACCCACATTATAAAACAATTGAGATATTATTAAGAGATATTCAAAGAAGTTTGTTTAAAATAAAGAAAGATAGACAACACTATTGTAAAGGTTGCCTACCCCTGTACTACTCATAGCCTGAAAAATGAGACCAGGGTAAACTAAAGCAGATGACTTACTACCTACCTAAACAACTTATCAGATATCATAAGAGTTTCTATAGCCATAGCTTCATTTGCCTTTTCCACATGTTTTTTCCCATAAAAAGCCTTGGCAGGTTCAAGTTGCAGCATAGTGTAGAAACTCTCTAAAAGCTTCACTTCACTGGCTGCTTTTGTATCAGATATTTTTGAAATAACACTTGGCTCTTGAAGCACCTCTAAAAAATTTTTATTTATTAGTATTAACTGAGATTAGGGTACAAATTATAATGAAATATGATTTAATAAAATAAATTATAACAGTTTATAATTTTTCAATTTTGTGAAAAAAAAAGAAGTCTGCAAAATTAATATAGGCATTTCTTCAGATTTTGTTTTACTATTTAGTCATAAACATAATAATGTTCCATAAAAACTGGTAAACATTGGATTTTTCGATAAGAAAGTAATTTAAGCACTTAATACAAAACATGCCTCATTTTTGAATTATTTTTTAACACCATCAATAACAAGTACTTATTTAAAAAACTTGCATATCAATAGCTTTAAATATAAAAATATATATAATACCTTTCAATGAATGCTTGAAACCAGAGGAAGCTTTTACCAGTAAGAATTTACTTTTATTGTCAATTAATAGCTTATTATCTGTTTTGACCGCTTGTTGCATCATGTACTCAAAGAACTGATCTTTTACAAACCCTGGTGAAGCTATAATTACACATTTCACAACTGTGAACTCTATATGCCTGAGAATTCCTTGCATGACTGCATCATAGAATTTGTTTAATCCCTGAAATGTATAGAGTATACTCACATATTGCTTTTATAATGTTCAATTTGTATCCTGTAATAGGATGCAAAATTAATGAAACAAAAATACTATATTATACCTTTTCATGTTGCTGAGCAAAACCTTTTCTTTTTCTCGGAATAGTCATATCTATTTTTGAACGAACCAACGTCATAGAGGGAGTAATAAGACAGACATGAGCGAGACCTTCTTGCATAACAATAGCGGCGACATCTGCATTCTGTGCTGGATCACAAGCTGTATCTACCCGCTCTAAGGCTACCGAATCCCATAAAGATTTTTGCAAAACAAACTTTCTATTCAGTTCAAGATCTAAAGTATGGTATGCTCCCATCTGGCGAAAAATACAACATATTAAATTAATTAATAATACTTTGAGAATTAATACTGTATCATTGAGTAATAATAATAGTTCAAAGGTATCCTTATGCTTAATAATCAAATACCTTGACATATTGATTTTCCACAATATTTCGACCTTTAAGTCGTAGTACACATGCTTGAGTATCAAAATCAATATTTTCTACGCTTATAGTAAGCGTTGTTCTCACTCTATTGCTGGTGGAAGAGCCAGTTGAAGACTCGGTCTGAACTTTACGTACTGTTGATGCGGTTACTGCATCGCCCTCGGTAATGAGGTTGTATGCATGCCACATATCTTCAGGCTCCTCAGGAATCAGACTAATACTCCTAAAACATATGTGAAGTTACATTCTGCGAAAAATAAAGCACCATTATCAACATTGGATGAAGAGTTTACCCGCAACCATCCTTCTCGATATTTTTATATACTAGCTTCATTGTGAATAACACTTTTAATTAAATCATTTTTAACTCTTAGTATAGCTTAAATTTATTTTTTTAATTCATGTGATGATATTTTGCCAAAATAGAAACAAAAAGAGGCAAAGTAAGGGATGTCACTTTTACTGTGCTTTTACTCAAAGTAGGAACATGTCAAAATCCTCAATAGAAATACTCAAAAGTATCGATACCCGTATATATCGATTCTTTTAATTGGTACCTACTATAAAAAAATAGCAGGGAATGAAGGTGTTTATATTTGAATGAAGACGTATTTTAAGAAAAAAAAAAGAAGGCGTCAACCTCACTAAACCTCACTAGAAGGCGACTCTAGCAAAAGTTTTTTTTTTTTTCAGGAAATTTATGGATCAATAATTTCCGTTCCATTTAAATAACATATAAAAAAAACTGAAATTTGCAAAGTTTGAAACTTAGATATCAATACAAATACAAAAAAGTACAAAAAGGACATGAGTTGTTAATGTAGTTTTGGAAATTATACATGAAGGAAAACCAAAAAGGTTGTCATGGAGAAATCAAGAAAGTACCATAGCGACATCTAGTTTGATTTCGGGGACTAATGTTTATTTTTAAATACTTCTTCATTATTTTCAAATACTTTATATATCTCTGGTAATGTTGACATTAAACAATTTAATTAAACAATATGCAAATAAAAAATACGTATTATAACCAAAAATATATAATATTTCAAATAAAATACAAAATACACTTCAAAACTATTACTTTGGAATATTTTTTGTGTTTTTACATTTTAATTTTAAATAAAAGTATTTCAAATAAATTGGATCTCCAAGAAATGTTACTAAAACTTAAAAGCAAAGTATTTTATATTAACTAAGAAAAAACGCCTCAAAAAAAGTATTGATACAAGTATTAACATCTAATAAAATGCACTTTTGAAAATGTATTTAAATATAAAGTGGAAAATAGGAATTTTGTATTTCCATTTGAAACACGGTTATTTCAAATAAATCGCATATCTAGCAATATTAGTTAATTTCTAAAATATGTCTTCGGTATAATAGGTACTGGTGCTAGACTCGCCCGAGTCTTTTTGGTAAACCAGACACGGAATAAATATGATTCGATTTGACTGTTTGTAAGATGCTAAGCGTTTCGTTCGTTACATCATTATTTGCTATTTATAAAAAATAGTCATTACTAAATTATAAAAATCACGATCTTAAGAACTTTTTTTCACTTTATATTTTAATTTTTATTAAAAATTAAAAACCTGTAGTTTAAAAACCTAAAAGTAATTAATCATTTGATCAACAGAACAGAAACCAAACGCGTTTTTTGATGTTTTGAAACTTGATTTGATAGATGGTGGAAGGAAGATCTGACAAAACGAGCGAGGGAAGCGATCGTATCGTGGCGATTATTTTTTGTTACATGCTCGGGGTTTTTGGCATAATTGCCTATGCTAAATGCAGTAATTGAAGTGATTATTATGTAATATAAGCATGTGTTTAATTCGCTGAAATGTTTTAGATACAATTAAGTGTATGTGCGTGAGTGATAAAGTTGTCAAGTTCAGCTGGTCGTGACGAGCGGTAAAGTCTCTCGATTTTTTCACTTACAGAAAGCGTTTTTGTGCTCTGTTTCCACCAGGTATGCCGTATTATATCCTTTAATTCTAAACACATAACCTGTATAAAATTTCCTAGGCTTATATACCTACACTGAGGGGTAATTATTTTTAAACCAACGTATTATAAAAGAAAGTCATTTTTTACGCTTTCGTATCTACGGTAAAATTATCCAAAAGTGTTTTTTTTTATTATTATTTACTTACTATACGTTTCACATTGGCCGTGATCCAGATAACGCGACTGTATTGCGCGCGAGAACATGTGATATTTTTAGTTTATTATCCACACGTCTATTTGAGATGTGCTTTGTTTTCGTTTTCGGAATATTTGTAAATATAAAGCTCAGAGTATAGATATTTATTATAATTTTTAGTAACTATTACAATGGAGTCTTGAATAAACTAGGAATCAGTTATAAAAAAAGTGATATTATAAAGTGAAAAATGAGTGAAAAACAAGAAGCCGACATCACAACATCTTCAGAAGCGCCTCCCATATCATCAACATCATCAGAATCCCTCGCTTCAGTCACCACAACATCTTCAACGAAGCCTACAAGACCATCTTCTCTGCAAAAACCATCTGGTCTTAAACCACCCAGCAAGATAGGAAGATTATGCTCAAACAGTGCCCCAAAACCGGCTGTACCCATCTCCCCAAGAACTGGTAAGTAACATAGAATAATTATCACTACTTAATCTTCAAAAATTACAATTATCTTCATTTTTAACTTGAATAGTGTTCAAGTTAAGACACTCTAATAAGATATAAATTATTCAAGTGAAGATAATTTATTTTTGGTCAATAGTTAACCTAAATGGGTTTCTTATATTCTATGTTTCTGTTCTGTTTAGGGTACAAACTGCAATTGACATTGGTGATAATAATAAGTGGAAAAAAGCTTTCTAATATACCAATTTTTCATTCCACAATCACCTATAGATTATGGATATGTTTTGAGAATGGCGATTTCTTAATGTAGCACCATCTATTGTACAAATTATTTGGCTTTCCCAATTGTCATTGGTCATCATTTATCTTCAATAATGTTCAACATGAATACCAGGCCACTGGGGCACAGCTAATTCTTAATCTATTTAAGGCCATGTCATTTACCAATGTAAACTAATTTAGTAACATTTATTTGAATACATTCTGTTGTCTATTCAATTTATCAACATATGATTATTACACAATGTGTTTGTTAAACATAGCTTTGTTTAGTTAATCTAAATAATCAGAAGCAGTTTATGAGTAATTTATTTGTCAGTAAAACTGGTATAATAATAAGCTTGCCTGATATTATCCCTGTGAGTTTGTATCAAAGCATGTTCTAGTAGAAAATGTGCTTGTATTAAACATGCATTACTGTAGCATATCCATGTTCCACATTCCAAATTCATAATTAATAGATCAGTATTGTGAGAAGGAACTCATATTATTTCATAACAACACCTAATATCCAAATTAACTTACTTAAAAGCAAAAATATATACTCTTCTAGACTTTTCTAAGTTTTTTTTGGATCGAGGGATATTATTATATAACTAAAATAAAAAATTTGAAAACTATTTTTTTAGATATTAAATTGATGAGATAAGTTGTTATTGTTTCCCTCATATTCAATCATTAGGTCATCATTGCTTAATATATCGATGAGGTGTGATGCACAAAACATGTGTGACGGGGTTATGTGTATGACCTCAACTCTCGCATTCTCGTATCATCCAAGCGATTTTGTAAAAATCTGAACCCGAAATCGAATTCACTCATTTATCCGAATTTACGTCGTGTCACGTGTAGAAATTCTATTGATTCCATTTTTGCATAAAAATGCGACATCAGATATGCTATTCCTATGTCATTTCGAAACTTACTTCATTTATGCCACGAAACGCGGATGCTGTTTTCGAAGTGAATTCTGACGCCCGAGTGCATTCGAATTCGGATTTTTGCAGAATAGCAGGGCTGATCGTTTGAAATTGAATCTTCAAATGCGAGCGACTATTTGCCTAATATTGTATAATATTACACGACTGTTGACTCAGACGATAATAGGTAGTTAATGTTTACATTTTAAATTAGATTAGAAAACTAATCACTAAACGTGACGACTATAATATCGATTTAATTAATATGGGTTGTCTCAAGTTTTGTTTACCGAAAATGCCTTAACATTTTCTTATAACCTCTTAGCCAGTTTTTGTTCATCAAATACGAAAGTGAGAGCTGGCAGTGTTAAGTTCTTTTGTTTCCTTTCGCTATGGTACCAATACCTTTTGAGTTTCTCCTTACGCTGTTCGATACAATGTGGCGAGTGCAAATTGACATCGCGCCTAATTCTTTAAAAAAAAAGCTTTTAGAATTATATAAAAAAAAACATAGCATAAAATTTTTATTCACCAAATACGCTCTTATAAAATGTGACTAATCATTTACAAACGCTAGCACCTCTACTAGTAATTTCGTCTGTTTTATTTCTCTTTATTACAAAAATTAACAGGATTTATGCTTCAATTGTTTGATAAGAAAAACTAAAAATACTACCTATGTTTTTTATGGATTTGTTTTTAATTTAAATTACATTAAAACATTTTGCTAACGAAAGTTTCATTCCCGCTGACGCTCTTTAGTTGGTCATTCCGCCCGCGATTGTGGACGTTAAGAGCGTGGATCGCATAAGGTTGAAGAGAAAACGAAGCGAAATTGCGAAGCGTTATAACAATATTTTTACAAACAATTTAAACTTAGTAATTTACTTCATAGCAGACTTTGCCTTTTAAGGAACTTTCATTATCAACTCATTTGGCGAATGAGTGTCCTGAATATGTATTTCGAGCTCCTTCGTTAAGAAGTTGATTCCGAAATCCTCTTGACTCGTGTGATAGGCCAAGAAACGTTTTCTCAATGGGCCACTAAATTATATTAGGTCAAATTTTGTTCCAGAAAGGTACTCTGCCGTATAATTATCGTCAGACTTGCCCTAGTTTAAAATACCGATTTTAAAATAATACACACTGTCGTCAAGCGAAAGTTTAATAAAAGAGAACTCAAAGAATTAGGGTTACTTAATACTTTAACACTCGACTCGACCTCGATGGCGCAGTGGAATGCGATTGTTAAGCAGCTTTCGCAATGGCCTGCCAGAAGATAGGTGACCAAAAATATATCATCTCGAGCTCCTCCGTGCCTCAGAAGACAGTCGTTTATACGCACAGGACCCGCGTGGTGTGTCATGGGCCATGAACCACCATGACTCAAGGCCCATTCTACCTATTCGGTTTTATTCGATTCCATCCATAAGGGAGGCCTAAGCCCAGTAATGGGGATATTAATAAGTTGGTAATGAATACTCTTACACATCATCATAACCCTAGCAGGACCTAGGGTTGAAAGCATTGCAACAGAATGGATATTAATAAAATAGGTTGATTATAAAATAACATACAAACCTAACATGTATAATTTATAATTAATTAACATTGCCATTATTAGACAACAATAAATAAAAATTACCTTACTTTCCAATCATATTTCACCATTAT